ATCCCCCTCCTCCTAAAGGGTCTCCTGCATCACATCGTTACACCCTCTTCACTGAGGTTAGAGCTGGAAGTCTGTTCAGTGGTTAACTGACAGATAATAATGAATAATATGCAAATATGCCACATTCACTAGCTGCAGCGTCTCAACTGGCTTTCACATTGTGCCGACACATTCTTCATTATTTTCTGACGTTTTTGAGCAAACGATGAATCAGTCATTGAAATAATTGTTAGTTGCAGCTCGAAGTGAAATGGGTTTCCTCTCACCGGGAAACTCGGATGGAGCAACCCAAACTCAGCTTAACGCACTCTGAAGTCTTTCACTGTGTCCAACATTCAGAGATATTTCAGAGGAGACGTGAGGTATCACACTGCTCCAGCAGACCTGGATTATGTATCATTGTATTTCTGCTTATTATTATTATTACTATTATTGTTATTATTATTGTCTATTCTAGTCTTAATTGAATGTAGTGTTATTCTGTTTGTATTGCTCATTGTTAAGTGAATTGTGAGGATAAAGACTTTTCCATGAACTGTTTCCAGCTACATGCACACTGTCAGTGTTTGTCCTGTACTGGTGTATCTGGGAGTGTTTCCGTGCAGTGAACATGTGGCGTACCTCTGGAGGGGAGGAGCTGCTGGCGGCTGCTGGCAGGGAGGCGTTGGACGAGGCACTGGAGGCTGACGAGCTCACAGACACTTTGGGGTTCCTCTCGGCTACCGCCTGCCAAACAGAACAAACAGCACAAACAGCACTGAGCACAACGTCCACACTGAGGGACATTAAAGGGACAGTTCACACTGCCCAATCAGTTTTCAGAGGTTGTCCACAGCAGCGGGGACACTGTTGAATGAAAAGGGCTCAATGAGTGAGTGAATGAACCCTGAGTGGACATTAACAACTCATCCAGTCAGCTTTTTATTTTATTATTTTGTTGAACTGATTAAGATGTTGCTCTATTGATCCCCGAAGGAGAAATTTGAGTCAGACACAGCAGCATCAGGGAAAGTAGTACAAGGAGTACAGTGCACACGCACAATAAGAGGCACAATATGAGAATATTCTGTTCTGTTGCTGTTCTGTTGCT